CTGCCCATTCCCACCCAGCACAGGGGCTTAGACCCACCAACAGCCCCAGGCAGAGCTACCTGGGGCTCAGTCCCCTGGCATGGACCCACAGCTGTGTTAAAGCAGTGCTCTGGCTACTACAAGCCACATGAAATGGGCCAGGAGATACCCACGGGAGGCATTTCCTGCATCTCTGCCCAGAGGTGGACAGGGAAAGGGAAAGCAAGGCAGGGGTCATTACCCGAGGGTCGTTTATGCCTGTAATTCGCTCCTCAGGCCGGTCTAACACCAGGAAGGCTGCCAGGTTGGCAGTGTATGAAGCCACGATGATCATAGCAAAGCCAGCCCACACCATGCCAAGAATACGGGCAGAGAAACTCCGGGGAGCACCTAAGAGGAGAGAGGCGAGGTCAGACCAGCACAAGGGCTTGACTTGGTCGCTAAAGCTGCATCCACTCGCCATGAGACCAATGGCACCTGCAGATGTGCAACACCTATCTGCTCCAGCTGTGTGAGGAGCTTCTGTGCTGCCCAAACCAAGATCCCACCTCTTTCCAGGGTATGATGTGTCTCACCCTGAGTGGATGCATAAGGATGGGCAGGAGAAGCAGCCCAAGAAAGACCCGTTTCCCATCACTGACGGTGAAGTGTGGTGGGATGATCCACATAAGTGTACCACCCCCAGCATCACCAAATCTCCTACAAGCCTGCTCCAGGGAAGGCTCAGGGGACGAGGCATCACCCCCACCAGAGAGGGAAGAAGTGGAAGAGGGCATGGGCTTCTTCCCCAGCCCAGTGTGCCCCCCAGCTCAGGGCAGAGCAGTCCCACTACACGCTGTGACACACCTTCTCCGATGCCAGAGTTCAGCAGCACTCCCCAGGAGAACCACATGGCCGATGAGAGGGTCAGGGCATCTTCCTCCTCCTCCTCACTGTTCACTTTGAACCGACCAAACGGGCTGGAAAACAAGAGAGCTCTTCTCATACCCCTTCTCCTGATTCAATCCTACGTTGCTCACCCCTACAAACTGTGTTTATGGGCAAAACAGCTCTTCACCCCTCATGTCCCACTGCCTTGCATGTCCCTTCTGCTGACCTGCAGCCTCGACCCGCTCACGCTGGTACTGGTCCCCTCACACTTCTCTCCAGGGCAGAAAGATCGTCTGAACGTGGTCAGCTCAAGTCTCTCCCACCACAACATGGAGAGCTCACTGCAGTTATTGCAAGAGCCTCGCAGCATGGGCTGAGGTGGTGACAGGCTCCCTGCCCTTCTGAGGAGATGCTCAGGGCCTTGAAAGGGACTAACTCAGAGCCCAGGAGCTGATGGTGCCCTTGGTCAGGCATGTGCTCTGACAGGTGTGTTCCCACACGTCCAGGTGCCAGGTACCCCACATATCTGTATCTCTCAGTTTAGCAGCAGCCAGAGAGGCTGGGAGCCTCAGCCCAGGGCTGGTGGTGCAGAAGAACTGGGTTTAGCTCCTGTGAGAGCCTCCCAGAAGGCTGCAGGGCTGTGCCTGGGGACTACACTGCAGGGACCCAGGGGAGGGTTCCCAGGAGCACCTCCCTGTCCCCCCCAACCCTTGGGTGACCCAAAGAGAGCTCACCTGAATCGGTCTAAGAGGTATAACATCACCGCCACCACGTGCACGGACAGCCCCACCAGCAGCCACAGTGTGCTCTGGAAAGGCTGCATGAACGAGTCCAAGGTGCTGCGGGGGATTTCCTAGCACACAGGAGAGAGGTGAACAGTGCTGGCACCCATCATGCCTGCACCTTGCCTGCCTGGCTGGACTCACAAGGGCCTCTGCCCTGCTCCGAGCTCCTCTGGCTCTGCCACATGGGGAGACTCAGGGTGGCCG